TTTTCATTGTTCCTGCCATGAAACATGGCTGCCGTGCAAAACCTCTATTAAGGCTGTGTGCTGATCCTCATGTTAGACGGACTACAAATGTTTACTACTGTCTTTTTTCAAAGTTCAATACACAGCAACACAAAGAACTAATGCATACAGCCACGCATACCTATAAATACCATACCAACGCCCAAGACTATTGCGGCGAATCACTATGAAAAGTGTTGTACCTTTTCGGACCTTTCCGACGATTTAGCATGCTAAAGGTTCCCAGAGAATTCTCCTCTAGATCAGCAATATCCTTCCACGGTATCACAAACAGAAAGGTTGTTGTGCTAATCGATGTTAGAATCATTTGACAGATCGTCACTAGGATACCTCCTGTAAAGTGGACACGTAAAGAGGTGGCTTGAATAGCAATAATCGCTGCAAAAAGACCTAGGAACACTATTACTGATATTGTTCTTATGATACATACAGTCTATCTTTTACTAACCTTCAGCATAAGGCTCGTGGCCACATTTAAGACGACCATAATAAACTGAAATGCACCGAAACTAGCACCCGCAGCTAAGCCAAAGTTTAAGACAATCTTGTAACACACCACTTGTACAGTTCCGTTCTGAACGGCAGCGCTGTTACAGTCAATAGGATCTCTCCAATGCCTTAAACGCCTCCCAGTTCCGACTGAAGTTGTATTCGAAGCAGTCCTTTGCGTTATCGTCGTCGTCGCAGCTGAAGCTAATCTCGAACAATAGGAATCTCCAGAAAATCATCGCGCAACCGCAGAAGATACACGTAAATAACATAAATAGATGTCTAAAAATCTTGTGCCTCCTATCCGTAATATCAATGTCCTTTAGTAGCCATCTTGTCTCTTCGTAGAGTTTAATCTTCTCAATCGATTTAATCCCTTCGCTGTTGTTCGCTGCTTCGCTAGTGTCAATTTGGACAGTAGTTTTCGCCTTGATAATACCGGGAAATGCATTAATGACAAAGTCTTCCAGCCCATTTATTATGAGGAGCTTTAGTATGAAGAAGACCGACAAGAAGCCAAACATTAGTAAAATGATAATAAGGTTATACCAGATGTCCTTCATATTTGGATAGTGGACTGCAAAAGTCACAGGGAGCGGTGCAGAACTGTTTGACCGTATTTCGACGATCTGTTGTTGATTGGAATCACTATACGTGATCGAACTGTATCTATATGCATGCGATCGTGTTACACGTCTGTTGAAATCCTATCCGTGAGATAAAAGCCACAGTGCTAGTCTAGCACTTATCACTTGAGGTGACCAACCAATCTCGTTCCCAGAGCCTTCGTTACCCTTGTCCAGCGGAACTGGAAACCGAAGACCTCGAAGACCTCTGGGATACAGCGTTTTCGATAACAGGATTCTTGTTATTCCGGTTACACTGCGCAGGCGTG